TCGAATCCACATGGAAGGAGGATCTTTTCCTGCAAAAGCCTTTGAAAGAAATATAAAGTAAGGAAATCTAGAACCAAACGGTTTTGCGGGGGTTTTGGTGGTGTGTTTAAAATGTAAAAACGAAATCTAAAAAGAAACTAGGGGAATTAAAATGACCTAATAACTAGACTTAACGAAAATGAATAAAAACGAGAAAAACAGATATTCTAATTGCTTAAATGAAAATTAACTAAAAAGAAATGAGAATATTGAACTAAAGCTTGAAATAAAAACGGTGTGAATCTATAGGAAAGAAGGCGTTGGGGTTCAGGGAAGTTTTCTCAGGGGTACGAACGATTCAAAACATTGCTAGAGAGTAAAATTGATAAGATCTTAGCTTAAACTTTTCGAACTGGAGTCACGGACGTATGAATACGTCACTGTCGTGATCATAGACAACTATCTCTCTCAACCCTGACCAGTAGGTTTCCACTCTGGCCCTGGAAAAGAAGAGATGCATTATGTTTAAGACTCGTCAGCATTCACAAATCGCCCATAGGTAGGTTTCCACTCCTATGTTTGTTTTACTCTCCCAAACTAGATCTGACACCGGATGAACACTTTCGTGTCACAAAGCATCTGGATCAGATTGTAGTTCATGACGCTACTCTCATGCAGTAAAAACGAATTCAGAAGAAAAAGTTCTAAGATTCGGCTCAAAAGCTCATGGAATCCTCATCGAACATATAAGCCCCCATCAAAAATCTCTTAATCCCAACAATAAAACTACTCAGACATGATGAACGAAATCAAAAACATAGTATTAAGAAGTAGAATAGAAACCGAAATTGAAAAAGAAAGAACAAGGGTTCAAGAGACAAATCTCTCTCTCCCTAAAACCTAAAACTTAAAAAGTATTCTAAAACAATAAGAAAAATAGCATAGCCTCGAAATAGGGTTCCTAAGACATGTATTTATAGTGCTCAAGACATTTATGGACGTCACTTAGGGTTTCTCCAAATGAAGGAATCATTGTGGGCTTCAGAAATGGGGCTTCGGGCTCGGAGTTGGCTGGCCGCGGTCGGGATGGCTGTGACCGCGGGGAATGGATGGCTGGCCGCAGTCGCGGTGCTTCTGACCGCGGGAAATTGCTTGCTGGCCGCGGGTGGAAATGCTTGCCGGCTAGTTTACGGGACATCTTGCTCTTTGCGTATCTTTTGATTGAACCGTTGGATTGCCAAGCTGTAAAGTGTGCTGGAAAGCTGATACTTCCATCTTTAAGGTCTCCAAATTTGAGCTGGATCAGACGGTGAGAAGGCCTTCAATCGGGGGTGAACTTCTGACGGTTTGACTCTGAGCTGAAATCTGGTTTTTTATCTATTTTGTTAAGCTTTTTCCTAAGTTACCTGAAAAGAGTCTTGGAACTACAAATACTAGAAAAACGTAATAAAAGTACTTGAAAGTAATTAAAAACATAGAAAAAGTATTTCAAAACGATCTATAAAAGTGGTCAAAATACGGTGTTAGTAGTTACTATATTATTACTCTGATTCTTGATAGGAAAAGGTGATCAATGAGCAACTATTGGTCTACATCCCTTCATAGTTAAGGTGTTTCTGAAAGATTTAAGCCACTTTTCCTAATTTCTAAAGAATTATTGAACGGTGAGCTGAAGGTGGAATAATGTTCTTTGGAGGCAAAAGACTTGTGGCATGACCAAAAATGTTGTCTTTTTCTTTTATTGAATGTTTCAGGTTCGTGGTTCCAAGTGATCTTCATTTTGATAATCAGTGTAAACAGCACGTGTGTGATGGTATATTTGGGAACAATCATGAATTTCTTAGGTTGGATTGGTGGTGTGGTTTCTCTTAAACTTGCTACTATAATCTCTATTTATGCAAGCACTCTCATAGCCATAAGTTTGGAAGCAAAAGACACATTCACTAAAGGGATCTTGCTGGATTCATTTACGGTATAAAAGGACCAAACCAACTCTCTTAATTTCCTTCCAATGAGAAGAAAGATGATGATGCTAACAAAAGATTTAATTAGCAGAAAAAAGCTTGCGATAAATGAGCTAGCATTGAATCGATATCATGTATTAAGAAAGAGGAGAAGAGTTTTTCCAAGATTAGGGAATAAGAAATCAGAAGAAAGCAAATAAAAAACAGACTTTGTGCCCTTGGAAGAAGAACTATACTTTTTTTTGGACCATTTAAGAAGTATACTTGAGGATAATATTAAGAAAAAGACTCATGGATTTTTAAAAGCTTGCTTCTGAAGATGAAACTATAGCACCACAAAAAATTATAAAAATATAGAGAGACATGTGTAGAAAATGATAATCTGGAAGGAAATGATAAGCTGGGAAAATTTTGGTTCTGATCCCATCTGATGAAGACAACTCTCCATGTTCTTCTCTTGATTCTAAATATTTTTCATTATTGTCCCAGTACAAGAAGCAAGAAAATCATGACAAAGTAAGGTTCATGTAAATGGATTTAATACAGATAATAATGGTCGGTGGTGGAACCAAAGAAGCATAGTGTTTGGTCCCCATGAAGATGGAGAAGAACAAAAGCTCTATTGTGAAGTTTGCAAAAAGAAGAAAGTATTGATAAAAAGATAGAAACAGAACAATTTTGCAATAATGGACATAGGATTAAAGGAGAAAGAAGATAAATAAATCTGGAACCAAAAAAACAGAGATGACGTAAATGATTAAAAAGTCAAAGATTATGAGAAAGAAGAATAAAATTATGAGGAAGAAGAAAATCCAGAAGATATAGAAAAGAAGGAATAAGAAAAGGCAGAAAACACATATGAAAAATATTCTAATAAATTAATAGATTATAATATTTTAAAATAAAAATGGATAAATAAAAATAACAGGAAGATCAAAAGATGAAAAAAAAGACAGTAGAAGAAGGTGAAAATAAGAAAGTAGAAAAAGAAAAACTATATAAGAATAGTATGTTAGATAATACGAAAATATAACAATGATGATGAAAGAAGACAAGACAAAGAAAAACTAGAACAAAAACAGAGAAGACGTAAATGATGAAAAAATCAAAAATCATAAGAAAATAAGATTAAGAGTAAGAAGAAAAATCAAAATATAGAGAGAAGAAAAAATAAGAAAGACGGAAAAGAAATATAATTATAAGTTGTTTTACATATTTGTTACTAAATTTGAAATTTATAGTAAAGATAATCAAGAAGATAAAGTAAAATAAGATGAAGATGAAGAATGAGATAAAGAAAAACCTTAAAATAAAAAACGGAGAATGCGAAAAAGACGAAAGTGATAAAAAGGAGAGAAAGTAGAAAATAAATAAATAAATAAACTAGAAGAAATAGAACAAGAAGAAGAAAAATATATGTTTCAAGTGATTATTCTTATTCTCTTCAATTTACAAACATGAATTTTTAGTTTAAATTTTTAACACTCTTAGGCTTGTGCAACGCGCGGACTAAACACCTAGTTATATTTAATGAACAAAATAAGTTCCAAATAATACAATAATTTTTTTTATAACTACTCTGAATCAGAAGAATATTCTAGGTTCCGCTACCCTATCAGTCATCATTTACCATTTGTACTATATCTGTAGATCCTGTTGGTAATCTGGATTCCGCTACCATATCAGTTACAGGAGCATCCATACTACCCATATTAACTAAATCAACTTCGCCATGATTATACCATGTCTGGTAATTTGGCCTAAATCCTGGCTTATACAAGTGAGTCCACACTTTGTCAATAAATTTATTATTATCACACAAAGGACATGGACAAAACATCTTCCCTTTTTTTGGTAATGTCTTGATTTGTGGGAAAATCCATGAACTCAATTAAACGTTTTTCAAACTCTTTTGTAATCAACCCTGTGTGAGAATCCACACGAGTATTATACATCCAGGATCTATCATTCAGATTTGGATTCATTTTGTTTGTAAAAATATATAAAAAGTGAGAAGGAAAGAGTGGTTTATATAGGAAAAATATCTCCGATGTGCCCACCGATTTCCCGTGGATTTTCCACCAATTTCAGAAATTAAAACGGCTAGTGGCAACGGCTATAAACGGATATATGGACGCCACAGTTTTATGACCAAAAAATCGGTGGCAAATTTACAATTGATTTCCCACGAATTGCCTATTTAAAAATTACGGATTTCCCACCGATTTGTGAAAATACAAATGGCTAACTGCAACGGCTATAAACGAATATATTGACGCCACAGCTTTCTGACAAAAAAAATCGGTTGCAAATTTACAATGGATTTCTCACGAATTCTCCATGTAAATACCAACGATATTTGTTTCGTTTGTATTCCGTTGCAAATTTCCCATGAAATCTCTATCGATATATTTCGTTGCAAATAAACAACAATTTTCCCACCAAATCACTTAATCATGGTTTATTGCTTGAGATTCGGTGGGTTAGCTTACCCACTAAAATTTCGGTGGGAAATTTCGTGGGAATAGATTTTGTTTTTTTGTAGTGATTATATAAGAGATGATGTTCAGAAAATGCTTCTTTATACGACTAACTCGGATTTTTAGATGGTTTTATAGCTGAGTCGAATCATAAATGTTTAGTCATGCTAATTTCTCCAAAAAAGAAGAAAAAAAAAAAAGGTTTTTATTACTCGGTTCTCAGTTTGCTGTTGACTGATACTGATGTCAACGCAAATGAGGAAGTTGAGCATAACAAACTTACAGTTACAGAGATGAACGGTCAAGATCCAGTAAATCACTAAACTCAATCTACAACCGTTAAATTGCAACAAGCTCGATGGCAATCGCGTAGATACTGATCTTCCTCGAGGGCAATTTCTCAAAACTAATCCACAGATTTTTCGTTTCGTTTCAAATTGAAGCGCGTAATTTCACAGAGAGAGATCGAGAGCGAAAACGAGAGAGAGAGAGAGAGAGTGAGATCAATTTTCGTCTCTGTTGATGACGAAATCCCACAAAACACTAGCTTGAGATTAACAGACGAATCGAAAAAACGATGCCGGTTCCCATAATCGAGACTTGCAGGAAGAGAAAGAGGAAGCCGAAAGTGTATAATCTGCAACGATTCGGAGAAGAGGAGTTTCCGGTTAACCGGAATGGAAGTTTCCGGGATAATATTAGGGTTTTTCTCCGGGACTTCGCGGAGGTTGAGGATTACAACATCCGTGGGATGCCAGTTTGGTGTACGCTTCTCAGTCACGAGACGAAGAACTCTGTGATTCCTCTCTACACAATTGAAGAAGAGGTCGTTCGATCCTCGGAACCCTACTGCGATCACTGCAAATGCACAGGTTCTTTCAATTTTGGGTTTAATCGTTTTTATAAGTTTCTGATTTCGGAAATTGGAATCGGAGATTTCCTAATTAAGGTTTAGTTAAATCGTATTTTGGTGCTTAAGGAGATTTTGAAGAATTGGGTTTTCAGTTTAGGGATTTACGATGTTTAAATCGAGATTCTGAGTAAGCTATGATAGTTAACGATTGGATTAGAGATCATTATCAGTGAATTTGTGTTTGAGGAGATTTTAAGATTCTGGGTATTGGATTTAGATGAGTATGTATCGATCTAAATGAAGAAATTGGGAATTTTGCATTAATGATTGCTTAAGAGATGTTTATGGATTATGTTTAATTGTTTTTACAGGATGGAGTAATCACTTTGTCTCAAAAAGGAAGTATCATTTTGTAATACCAATTGATACTGAGTGGAATCTGCCTCTAGAAGATGATGTTTTTGATCTACAAACTCATCTTTTACATGGACTGATTCACACTAATGGGTTTGGTCATTTGATCTGCGTCAATGGTTTTGAAGGAGGATCGAGATACTTGTGCGGGAGAGAAATCGTCGACCTTTGGGATCGAGTATGTACCAACCTCGGAGCAAGGTTCGTTATCCTTTTGTGTGTTTGTTTGGTTTTTGATTGTTCATGAAATGGGAGGAGATTGAAAGGAATGTGTTTTCTTGCAGGATGATAACAGTTGAGGATTTGTCTAAGAAGAGATCTCTGGATCTTCGGTTGCTTTACGGAGTGGCGTATGGTCACTCGTGGTTTGGTCGATGGGGATACAAGTTCTGTCGTGGAAGCTACGGTGTGACCAAGAATGATTACGAGAGTGCTATAGAGCTTCTTGGTTCTCTTGAGCTTGATCAGATTGTGTTTGATTTCAGTGAGCATAAACAATCCAGAGAGATCAAAAAGATTTTCAGGTACTATAGAGGAATGAGTGAAGGACATTTGAAGACATTCAAAGATCTGTTGGGGTTTATGCTTATCATCAAGTCTCATGCTCCTCAAACGAGCAAGCTTCACGTTGCTCCTCCTCCCTCACCGGACTTCCCTCATCAGAAAAGATCAAACAGGTTGTTTCTGAAGAAGAGTGATGTCTTGGAAAATGAGAAGTCTCTTGGATATAAGAGTTACAGCATTGTGGCGGCTAATTTGGGAAGTAGATGGCCTGTGAGAAGATTGGAATATGCTGCTGAAGTGATTGTAGAGTCACTTAAAGAGATGAAAGCAAGGAAGCAGAACGGTATGACTCGGCAAGATGTTAGGGATGCAGCTAGATTACTTATTGGAGATACTGGTTTGCTCGATTACGTGTTGAAGTCGATGAACAACGTCGTTGTTGGGAACGTTTTGGTTAGGCGTTACGTGGATCCTATGACACGGATTCTGCATTACACAATACAGGAGCTTGATGATGCGACGAAACTGATAGAACCGAAGAAAGAGCCTGCACTAGAGGTGATTCCTTTGAGGGTTGTCACTGAATCGAAACCTGGAGCTGATGTTCATGGAGATCTACAGTTGCTCTACACAAATGTTCTGCTGAATTACCCAGAATCTGAATCAGTGAGATCTGCAACTCAAGCTATCCTAGACAGTAAACACTTCGTAAAGGAGTGGCCTTTATGGGACAACAACGACAAAATCTTCCGGTTTGTTTGTCGTATCGATCCAAGTTTGATTGATTTGAGGACAGAGCAGATCACAGAGCTACCTCCAGGAGAATTAGTCACGGTCTCATTACAAGCCACAGTCTTTGATCTAAAGCAAGCCATTGAAGACACATTCAGAGATACTTACTGCATCTTGACAAACTTTGTGGTGAATGAGATCGATGAGCTCAAGGAAGATGGTGATGATAGGAAGGTACTGTTTGGAAGACTCGAGTCTTGTTCTGCTTTAACAGTGAGAGGGTTTGGGATTGATATGGAATCGGAACTGAAGTTTCAAGGTGGATGTGAAACATGGATGGTGAAATGTGTTTGCAGAGCTAGAGATGATGATGGAGAGAGGATGATTTCTTGTGATGTGTGTGAGGTTTGGCAGCACACAAGATGCTGTGGGATTGATGATTCTGATACTTTACCTCCGCTTTATGTTTGTTCGAATTGCTGTGAGGATTTTGCAGATCAGCAGAAGAAAGTTTTGCAGCCAAAGTATGAGTTTCCTAATGCAGATCATATGTTGCTAATTGAAGCAGGGGATGATTACTTTGGAGGGGAGAGTTCATGTCTTGGAATGATGTTCCCTTCAGAGAGTTTCCTTAGTGAACAATTCATTTTGTAAATCATTTTTTTTTGGTACTAAACATTGATTTTTTGTGTAGATAAATCATATTTTTTTGTAATGAAACAAAAGGGAAAAACAACCCTGAAGGCTGAAAGCCTGAAACCTTTTTTTTTGGTTGAAATGAAACCAAATGCAAACTAGTCTTAGTTTTACTTGTGTAGTCTTCTTCTAATCCAATTATAATTCGGATTGCTCACATTTTATTTTTACTATATCCTACCATAACGATGATACAATGGGCTGAACCATAGTATTTTGTAATGAATCTAAAATTAATTAGATTAGGTCCTTTAAAACTGTTTGTTTGATGAAGATTTAGACCGTTTTGACTATTTCCTCGTGATAGTGGATTATGTTTTCGGATTAAAAATAGAGATTCGCTATGGACTTGGTCTTTATATAGTAACTAGATTAGGACTATATACAGATAAAATCTAAAAATATTTAGACAGAAAAACCGTATATTTATAAGTCGTATAACTAAACTTCATATCAAAATATGTGTTTGGATATCCAGAAGTTATGTTTTATAAATCACACCTAAGAGAATCTGAAATTAACTCAAATTATCCATTAATCCAAATCTTTCTAAATGAATTAAAGAGTCTCAAAAACAAATTTGAAATCTTACATAACTTAATCAAAATCTAATTGATATTATAGTTTTTTCATTTTTTATAATTGTATTGTATGAAGCGCTAAACATTCCCATAACGGGATTTGTATAATTAAGCATTCATTAATCCATTTGGCAAAATCTAAAAATATTTATCCCTCCAACAATATTGTCTATAATTTGAAAAAAAAAATGGTTATTTCCAATATACAAGTGTATTTTCGTTCTTTGAATTAAAATGGCCTTTTTAAATGCTTAAACTCAATTGAAGAATCAGAATTATCAACAAACCCATTCATCTTCATCTGTATATTCATCATCTTCAACAACTCCGTAACTTTCTCCTTCGTCCCTTCTCCACATCCAACCTGTAACATCACAACAAGCTTCTTAAACGCACCTAATCTCAACGCTTCTTCAACCTCAGATCCATCTCCACTTTTACAAATCCTCCACATCACACAAACCAAATCCTTCTTCGCAATCTCAGATACCTTCAAAATCTTCTTCACCAGAATCGGCATCACCAATTCGTTTCCTCTGATTTCTCTCCTCCCTTCGTTACTCTCGCAAATCGCGTTTAGAACCAATAACGCTTTCTCGCAAACGCTATTCTCCGAATCAACAAGCATCTCCACCGTTAAATTAACCAGATCCAATCCCAGAAACCTCGTGGTTATCTCCGGTTTAACCGAGATCATCCGGTATATCGAAGCTAACGATACAGAATCGCGAATCGATCTCACCAACGCTTCTTCGACGCCGTTAATCGCGGCTAACGCGTGAACGTTTGCTTCGTCTAGCGATAATAGCTCCTTCACCAAAATCGCAGCGTTTTGATCCCCGCCTCTCAAAAAACCGACCAAACGCTTAAACGACGACGAAGAAGTCAACCTCGCTTGACCTTCTAACCCAATCGGAAACATCCACGTCAGCAAAACCATAACGTCCTCCAACAAATCCGTCGCGTTTGCGTTTTCCGAAAACGCGTCAAAACAAACGCAGAGAACTAATCCGATGCCGTTTTCTTTCAAACATTTCTTGTTCCTCTCGCTCTCTTTCCCTAATCTCTTCATCTTCTTGACCATCTCCACACACGCCGCATGATCCTCCCGCCCCGTTGCGGACAACAACTTCCCACAAATCTCGACGGCTTGATGGCTGGTGACCGGGACACGTGGCGTCGGGATACGACCTAACGATGACCCTTTAGCGACAACGCACCATTCTTGAATCATCCTACGTATAGAGTGGTTTGGAATCTGTTCAAGAGTGGTTAGAACCGTGTTAGTCACGGGACACGTTTTGCACCCGGACTCGAACCATTTCTCGATGTTTTCGCGGTCGTAAGTGATCCCCGAGGCGATAATCACCGGATCTTTCATCAAATCGTACGAAATCGGACACTGGAACTGCGATGGGATCGTTATATCTTCCTCATCAGAGCAAGAAATCGCCGGAACTTGTACTTCCTTCTTGTTTCCTCCTCGCCTTCTCGCTCTCAATGAAAGTCCCATTACAATATAGTTTAGTTTGTGTTGGTTTGGTCTTTCAAGAAGCAACTTGATCACTCAAGAAGTTATTAGAAATCAATGAAGGAGAGAAAAGTGGGTAAGAGATTATATATGTGTGTTTTGTAATGTAAACGTTTTAGGTGATAAAAGTCATAAGTTTCTGGAAACGCGAGTGGGTCAAGGTAAAAGAAAAGAAAAGAAAAATCACGGGGAAAATAATGTAATGAGAATAATGGAGAAGGAGGTTTTATTATGTCATATTATTCGCTAGCTGTTAGGAATCGGAAAATTTGACCGTTGAATGTTTGAAAAAAAAAACCTTGAATGAAATTGACGACTAATGGGGAAAGAGGAATACATGAATGTTTGAGAGGACTCAACATTTAAACTTATTCTTTGGTCTGAGGATTGGGTTTAGGGTTTAGGAATCGAATATCCAATCCTCAGACCAAAGAATAAGTTTAAAGTTCGGATATTCGATCCTTTCTATTATTAATTAGGATTCGGAAATTATCTAGAAGATCTGTTTTGATATGTTATTTGCTTCAATGTGATTACAAAAGTTATAAATTTGTAGAGCAAACAAGTATTAAAATTTAGTATCAGTTATATAGATAATAAATTAAAAAATACTACTAAAAAATAAAATTCTGGATATCTATTCTGTTCAGTAATATGGAGATACATTCATAATAATGTTGTATGTTTTATATAGATAAGTAGACACATATAAAGTGTGTATTTATTTGATACCTTAGAGTTTAAAATAATTTATTCATCAGTTTAATTGTAAATTATTATGCCTTTTCAAAAATTTCAGAACTAAAATCATGAATATTGAACTTATACTTTTTTTTCTTGTTTTTCATAATTTTTGTAGATTTTTTAATTTATGTTCTAGAACGGATCGAATATCCGAACTTTAACTGATTTGTAAATACAATGTCTATTTACAAAAGAAAAATTAAAAATAAACAAATCACATGTATCTTAAACCCATTCTGAAGCTAGCTATACGTAAAACTGAATGAAGATTTTTGTCTTCGCAGTTTGCAGTTCAAAAAAAAAAAAGAAAAAAAAGAGAAACTAATATTAAAGTGAAGAATATGTGAAATCGGCTAGTGATTGACTAAGTCAATGGTTAATAGTCGGTGCATGGAAAATATGACACAGTTGGAGAAAACAAAGAAAATATATTAAAAAAAAATATTTTAACTATTTAATTTTTAAAAGAATTTTACATAATTTTTTTTACTTTGTCAGAAATTCACATAAACTATTTTTTATTTATAAAAAAATTTTAAATTTTTAAAATTTTACAGCCATTTACAGACATAATAAAATCAATATATAAGCAACGTTAAATTTTTATAGAAAAAATACTAAAAATATATTTCAACTATTTAATTTTACCAAAAATTCACACAATTTTTTTACGTTGCTAGAAATTCATCTAGACTACTTTTCGATCTATAAAAATATCCAAAGTTTTTAAAGTTTCATTTTTCCTCATTCGTGTTTCACAGTTATCAGTTGACATATAGGAATCGAGAAACTGTGTTAGTTTTCTGTAACATGTGCTAATTATTCTCGGATTAGTACCATTATTACCCATAGAAAATCTTCAAATCAATTTGGAGAAGACAAACGTAAACTCTCTTTTTTTTCTCTTCTCTTTCAGAAATTGAGTAAAATAGGTTGAAAATGTGGTTAATAGAGCAATAAATCTTGTTCAGAACACATACATCATCTCTTCAAATTTCTCTTATCAGTCTTACATATCACAACACACATTGTTTCCAACTCGATTTAGATTACCAACTATATTTTCAACCAATTCCCTTAATTTTCTAAAAGAGAGAGAAAAAAATTAAGGTTTAGATTTTTTTTTTCCCAAATCGATTTGGGGATTTTCTAAAGGTAACAGTGATATCAATCCTACAACAATTAGCACATTTTACGAAAAACTAACGTAAAAGCCGTGAAACCTGAGGAGGGAAAATAGAGCTTTAAAAAGTTTGGGTATTTTTTACAGATCGAAAAAATAGTCAGAGAGAATTTTGGCAACGTAAAAAGTTTATGTAGATTTCTGGGAAAATTATATAGTTAAAGTATTTTTAAAATTTTTTCTCTATAAAAATTTAATGCTGCTTATTGATTTCGTTATGTCCGTTAATAACCGTGAAATCAGAGGGAAAAAATGGAACTTTTAAAAAGTTTAGGTATTTTATGGATCGATAGTATAGTTTGTGTGGGTTTCTGGCAAAGTAAATAGTTAAAATATTTTTTGGCATTTTTCCGAGAAAACAAATGTTTTTTTATTTTATTTTGTGTTACAAATAACAATTTTTTCAGGAAACTTTTCATTAAAGCCCAATAGGCAATTTAGGCTTTCGAAGCCCTACAACTCTATGATTACAACTAAACTATAATGCCCAATTAAACATACACCTATTGAACAAGATAATGATAAACAAGACAATGATACATGTCCAATATGTCTTGCACAGAGCTGAGGGAGAAAGAATGTCGCCGTCGACAAATAGCCACCGCGAGACTCCATCAATTCCGGCCATCTGTTTCGAAAACCAAATTACTTGCTCCTTTCTCCGATTAACTGAACTGTATAAAACACCAATTACCACCAGAAGAGTTAAACTATGATAAAACTTGATAGATCAGAAATAGATCCTTCGCTGAAGCTCTGCTGAACCTACACTTAATCAATCGAAGTGATATCAAAAACCTTTTTCTTCATTTGCAAGAGCAACTTATCTCCAAAGCCATTTTAATAGCCCCATTACAGTGGAGTAAGATTTTACATTCAACTGAAAGAAAACATGCATAAACCGATGCGAAGGGAAAAATAATATTGAGGCCAGGAGGCCAGGAACCTCCCAACTACTTCCCGATATGCTTTCCGGGATGGTTTTCAAACTCCGGTGATGGTTTTTTCTCCACTCAATCCGATATTCTCACCAACAATTGATATGGGCCAGCTCTCTCACCCCATATCCTCGGAATTAATGTTGTTTCTCACCTGAGTTAAATGCATCATGAATGGCTATCAAACTCCATAAGTGTTGGTCAAGCAATAAATTCTCTATGTGTCTAACGCTTACATATCTTTGTGCAGTTTAAAGTTGGGGATAGATTGTCTTTTCCTTAAAGTCTTACCTCGTGTGTAGTAACCTAAAAACTAGAATAATCCACTCTATGGATTACCCACCAGTTCAAATAACCAGATCTATTTTATGGCGAGAAGATTCTAAGCTTTTGAAAAAGGGAAAAGTCTGGATTTATCTGAGGAACCTTCTCGTGCGGTAAAAATCAAGGTCCCCCTTTTTGACACATCAAACCACATTCGCAAATACGACCTTACACTGATTGACCACATCACAAACCCTAAAATCCAAAAATGTGGGCCCTCCTCCCCTTAATGGCCGACCACTGGAAAGTCTCTGTCCGACCTGTTAGAACAGACCCAGGGCAAGGAAGGTTTCAGTAAATGTTCTCAAAAGAAGAAAATTTACAAAAAGTTCTAGATGGGAGGCTGTACCACTTTTCACATTGGATGATTATCTTGCAAAGGTGGGAGCCTACGGTGGAAAGCTCCTTCCCATCTCAAATCCCCTTTTGGATCAACGTCCAGGGCATTCCAAGTTTTCTGTGGGCTGAACCGACGCTGGTTAGCCTAGCATCCAACATTGGAAATTTTGAGAAGCTGGAAATCACTGATACCCCTGCAAGAATGAGGGTGACCATTGATGGCCTGAAACCATTGATCAAATCATCTACATTGGAGTTTGAAAATGGTGATGAAGTTGTTGTTGACCTTATCTATGAAAAAATGAAGAAGCATTGCAAGATCTGTGGATTCCTGGACCACGATGAACTGGAATGCTCGAATAGAAAAGACCATTCTTCAGTGTCGGACCTTAAGATTAAACAGAACCCATCCTCCAGACCATCTGAAAGAAAGGCAGCTCACAACTCAAAAAGCACATCAAAGGCTACAAGACCCTCTATTCAAGAGATTCCTAACAACCATTGAGGCCACTACTCCAAATCTAAAGAATTAGAAGGCTCTGTATCCTCCTTCCACCCCCAGTAGATCGACTGATATAAGGGATTCGAGCTCTTACCAACTCCGATACCGAGATGACCAGAGGCGAAGGCATCTTGTGAGACAAGACAGATACTCTACCTCCTCTGTCTCTAGATCTTCATTCCATCAGTCAGAAAGAAGCAATAGATCCCCTCGAAGACCAGTCTGAATAGAGAAAAAGAGACCAAGAAAACTTCCCAGGCGTATTCTCTCCTTACCGGATGATTCTCAAGGCTCAAGACCTAAAAGAAGATACGTGGACAATGGAAATGAGTTTCATAAGCCTAATGAAGATCATACTGAAACCTTACCTCAAGCTTCTATGGATGAAGCCATAGGCGAATTGAAAGAAGTTATGATTCAATATGCCAGTGGACCTGATCCCACTGAAAGTGCTGCAAAGAAGGTTTGGGTTTGATTAGTGGAAAAACAGGGACAATTTGAGATGGCTGCGGCTCAAATGGTCAGGGCTTCCCTAGACCCAACCTGCTCAGAATCCCCAGTGATCCAGGATGAACCGACAAGAATATCAGCTCATCAGAGACTTGGCCCTTCTAGCTCGGGTGTCTCAAACTCCCCTGTATCCCAGGATAGAACCCTGATAGCTCTCAGACTTGGCCCTATCAATGAATCTGCTGAGGAGTTACGTCTAAAAACTCCAGATAATATGGCTCCACCATCTAAGAGGAAGCTAGGAAGACCTCCAGGCAAGAAAAATACATCTGCTGGACCCTTCCTTGCTGGAACACCAAAGAAGAGGAAAATATCAAAAATTCAACCATCTCCAAATAGGAAACTAAGTAAATCTACTCTAAAAGGAGGCGACTCATCTCACTCTAAAGCTCAACCAGCCAGATCAAGTCCTTCACGAAGTAAAGCTAAACCTCTAGGAGGCTGATGTGGAGACTTGATGTGGGTGTGTCGAGGGTTGTCAAGTTTTACCCAAATTGAAATCAATAGCCGCAAGTACACAGCTGATCGATTGTAGTACTTAGGGATCGAATCCACAGGGAAGGAGGATCTTTTCCTGCAAAAAGCCTTTGAAATAAGTATTAAGTAAGGAAGTCTAGAACCAAACGGTTTTGTGGGGGTTTGGTAGTGCGTTAAAATGTAAAAACGAAATATTAAAAGAGAATACGGGAATTAAATGACGTAATAACTAAACTTAACGAAAATGACTAAAAATGTAAAAAACGGATATCTAATTGCTTAAATGAAAATGAACTAAAAAGGAAAGACAATATTGAACTAAAGCTTGAAAGAAAATCGGTGTAAATTAATGGGAAAGAAGGCGTTGGGGTTCAGGGAAGTTTTCTCAGGGGTACGAACGATTCAAAAAATTGCTAGAGAGTAAAATTGATAAGATCTTAGCTTAAACTTTTCGAACTGGAGTCACGGACGTATGAATACGCCACTGTCGTGATCATAGACAACTATCTCTCTCAACCCTGACCAGTAGGTTTCCACTCTGGCCCTGGAAGAGAAGAGATGCATTATGTTTAAGACTCGTCCTAATTCACAAATCGCCCATAGGTAGGTTTCCACTCATATGTTTGTTTTGCTCTCCCAAACTAGATCTGACACCGGATGAACACTTTCGTGTCACTAAGCATCTGGATCAGATTGTAGTTCATGACGCTACTCTCATGCAGTAAAAACGAATTCAGAAGAAAAAGTTCTAAGATTCGGCTCAAAAGCTCATGGAATCCTCATCGAACATATAAATCCCCATCGAAAATCCCTTAATCCCAACAATAAAACTACTCAGACATAATGAACGAAATCAAAAACATAGTATTAATAAGTAGAGTAGAAACCGAAATTGATAAAGAAAGAACAAGGGTTCAAGAGAAACCTAAAGCAAAAACAATAAAAATATGAAGTAATGATGGATGATATTCGGTTACATGATATTTAGGGTTCCTAAGACATGTATTTATAGTGCTCAAGACCTCTCTGGACGTCACTTAGGGTTTCTCCAAATATGGGCTTCAGAAATGGGTTTTTCGGGCTCGGAGGTTGATGGCCGCAGTCGGGACAAGTGTGACCACGGGGAACAAGTGTTTGGCCGCGGTCGGGATGCTCCTGACCGTGGGGAATGAGTGTTTGGCCGCGGGTGGAAGTGCTTGCCGGCTGGTTTACGGGACATCTTGCTCTTCGCGTATCTTTTGATTGAACCGTTGGATTGCCAAGCTGTAAAGTGCACTGGAAAGATGATACTTCCATCTTTAAGGTCTCCAAATTTGAGCTGGATCAGACGGTGAGAAGGCCTTCAATCAGGGGTGAACTTCTGACGGTTTGACTCTGAGCTGAAATCTGGTTTTCTATCCATTTTGTTAAGTTTTTCCCTAAGTTACCTGAAAAGAGTCTTTGAACTATAAAAATACTAGAAAAACGTAATAAAATTACTGAAAAGCAATTAAAAACATAGAAAAAAGTATTTCAAAACGATCCATAAAAGCGGTCGAAATACGGTGTTATCAACTCTCCCAGACTTAAACCTTTGTTTGTCCTCTAACAAAGCAAAAGCATAAACTGGTTAAGTGAAAACAAAAATAGGGAATGCACAAATCTCATAGACATGGACTCCTAAACTAGGACCAAAGATAGTGCATCAATCCACAACTTAGTCTAGAAAATTCTCACCAATGTACAAGAGATACTAGTCCACTTTTTCCGTCATGCAAAACTTAAACAACATAAATCTTGATTCCAGTTAACTAGCTCTCTACATTCATTAAGTTCAAAAGTGAGTTCTCATTAAAGACATCATCTAGGGTAGACGGCGTTTGGCATTAAAGGGCTGTTTAAGTGGTGGAGTTAAAGTGTTTCGGGTTACCTGAAGATCTGGAGGATGCAAGATAATATGCAAAACCGCAAGAGAGATAAGGACCTGTTGATGACCACAGTTTTCAGTCACTTCTTCTTGCCCAATGTTGTTGCATAATCCTTCCTCCTTTGTTGTAAACAGCTATTCCCCCAGACTTAGATTCTTTCCGGGAATCAGAAAACAATCTCCAAAACTCCATAAAATCGAACTCCAGTTGCCTTGGGACTTAAAATTCGACCTCTCTAGACTCTCTAAGGCTTTTATTTCTTTTCTTTTCTTATTTTTGGATTTTTTTTTTTTTTTTTAGAATAGGAAATGCCTTTTAAAGAGAGAGAGACTAGAGGACGAGATTGTACCAAAATTCGAGATTTTTCTAAGGCAAACTGAGCTTCCTCTTGTGTTGAATCCTTCCAGGAACTTTTCCGGCAAATCGCAGGTCTCTGTCCTTGGTGACTGAAAACTGCGTCGTTCCTCTTTCTCTCCAACGTTTTTGCACTTATCTGCATATAAGACAATAGAAAACAAGAGTGCATGTGGTTTGAAAGAGGATTGGTTAAGGTGGGGAACTAGCTAAAGATGAACTAGCCATTCAGGATCAACAGAGAGTGGTAAAAGGATAAAGGAGTCCTGAATGTATGATTCGTTTCCCTGGTCTAATGCTTCAATGAGAAAAGTAAGTCCAAATTAAGTCCAAATAAAACAGAGCTAGTGTATCCCTTCATCTAAATCGAAATCATTCAAATTCCTCTGGGGTACTTCGTTTCAAATGTGCTTAGCTACCGCCTAATCTAGTCCTAAATCATGAATGAGCAAGTCACTAGGAACAGTCTAAAGCACACAGTCAACTATCATTGATTCATGTTCACCATTCCCTTTAAAACGTATTTTGTTTTGAAAACCGATTTTGAAAAACTTTAAAGAAAATACAAAAAGTGTAGATAATGCAAGACTCATGAAAGAAAAGTGGTTAGAAAGGGATGAAATCCCCTCCAGACTTAAATCACACTGTCCTCAGTGTGAAACAAGTCGAGATTGGATGAGAAAAATGCATAGATAATCGAATTGGTAAGGACAAAGAGAACTTACCTGGATCCGGGATGCTGGTGGAGATGAACTGGATTCATTCGAAGGGGTTTGGGAAGGTGATTAGGTGGTGATGAAGGTGATGGAAGGTGATGAATGAGGTGGAGGGTGATTGCTGAGGTGAAATGAGGTGAAAGGGATGGTTTGGGTCGGGTTTGGATGTCAACGACCAAGTGCCGCGGTCAGGGGCTATACGACCGCGGCAACCAAGTGCTTGGCCGCGGTCAGGATCACACGACCGCGGTCGAACATGTGTTTCCTGCGGTCCGAACACCTGCGACCGCGGGGGCTTATATCGCGGCCTCTTCCGGCTTCTCCTTGGATCCTGCTGGGCCGAGCAGTCAGGTACCATCCTTGTTTTTGGTTTTTTCTGGGTTTTTGATTTTTTTGGCTTTTTTGTTTTATAAGAAACACCAGAAACTAAGAAAAAGAAAAATATCAAAAGAAAAAGAAAGAAAAATTCTAAAGAAAACAATACCTAAATGGGTTGCCTCCCATTAAGCGCTTCTGTTTTAAGTCGTTTAGCTCGACTTTTGGTGTTGGACGTTGCTTAGTCCTTTAAAAAGACAATGTCTTGGGACAAGTCCTTTTTGCTTCCCCTTGTCTTTCCTTTGTATATCCCTTATAACGCCATTCCGAATTGGAAATTTTGTCCTTAGGTTTGAGATGGTAGCCTCCTCCAGGATCAAAAATCAGTCTTGGAACTTCTTTGAGGTATGAGTCTTCAACACCACTTGTGATAGGAGAACGTCTTAGATGCTTGTATGATGAGGTGAATAAGGTCTCTCTTACTGCATGACATTGAACCATGTTGCAAGATACAAGGACAGATGATTCTTTATGATCTGAAGTGGTGGAGATGGTTAAGCATCCAAGGTGAGGACAGTTTGCTTGGAGAGGTGTCGCCATAGCTTGAACTGTTGGAGAATTGGTAAAAAGAGCATTGGCCGCTGGTGGAAGTGTCGCGACCGCGGTGAAAGGTGGTTTGGCCGCTGGTAGTGCACACGCGACCGCGGGGAAAGGTGGTTTGGCCGCTGGTAGCGTACACGCTACCGCGGTGCCGAATATCCTAGGAAAGATGTTCAGATCCTCTTGCTTCTTGTCTCCAATTCTTTTTCCTTGTGGAGTGTCTTCGGAAAAGAGTCTTGAGAGCCATTTAAACTCCACTCCTTTGTTTGTCAAACTTGTAAATCCAGCATTTTCTTTGGGTGCTCTTCTTTCTAGAACGTATCCAACATCCTTTGTAGTTCCTCCAGGGTCAAATATTGGATCATCTACGCCCCCTATTGTCAGACAATGAGAGTTCCTTGTAGTAATCACCGGGTATGGGGTTTTCTTGTTGATCTTCAGGAAACTCATATGTTGATGCAGGTAGTTGATGAGTGTTCCAACATATGCTAGGAACGAAATACCAAGTATCAAGGGTTTGTTGCATTGTTTCTCATCTCCATAGCATGGGAACCAGTAGAAACAAGACAACCTTTCCCTTGAAAAGGCAATTTTGGTTTGGAACCAAGTAAAGCTGCACCAGAAAAATCTCCATAGTGAATATAAATCTTAGAGGGATGAAAAATCGAAATACCTGTATTCTCTGCAATGGTCTTTGGTATGAGATTCACATCAGGTCCAGAATCACAAAGAGAATAACGAAATTTCACTTCCTTGATTGAGAATGGGGCATCAAACTTCTCGGAATCCTTCGTCTTAGAAAGCGCCTCCAATGGTGGTTTTGATGTCACCATTAGTGTCTTATTTTCCACGTGGTCTGTCTTACATTCAAGGTGGTGAGGAGCTGAAGGAGAAAAAGGCTTTGGTTCATCAAGAGGAAGGGACTTATGATCTTGTTTGTCGTCTCCAAAACACTTGAACGAATCGGTAGAGACGAGATCGTCACTAGGGATGGAAAGAGGTTCTCCTTTTTCTTGATGGCTGGCTTCCACGACGTGATGATCCAAAGGAATTTCATTTGATGGCCTCTTTCTAACAAACTTGATGGAGGATTCTCCATCTACTTCACAAGATACCCAATACCCATCATCCATAGATTCATTGAGCTCCTGAAGCATATCATCAATCTCGGTTTGGGAGACAGACGACATATCTTCATCAAAGAGAGGATCATGGATATCTCCGTGGGCATTGTAAGTTGTCAAGGTCTCCCAGCAGATTCCTTGTTCCTCTAAACCTTCACGAATTGATTTGTAGTGGCTGTGAAGTCCTCTTTTGTGGTGGTTCGGAATTGCATTCAAATCCATTTAGGAGAGATCACGAATGTATTGTGCTTCTTGGCGTTGAGTGGCTCAAGGAGTGTTGTAAAAACCTCCCTCATAGTAGTAATTTCGTTTCATATGATCCATATCTTCTGAAATGGATACAAAATAACCGAAAAATGGAAAGTTGCAGAAAAGGGGGTTCTAGAGTCGATTTACTAACCTTTCTCGGGGTTTTGCAGAAAAGAAACTGTGTGCCTTCCCCGGCAACGGCGCCAAAAACTTGATGTGGAGACTTGATGTGGGTGTGTCGAGGGTTGTCAAGTTTTACCCTAATTGAAATCAATAGCCGCAAGTGCACAGCTGATCGATTGTAGTACTTAGGGATCGAATCAACAGGGAAGGAGGATCTTTTCCTGCAAAAGCCTTTGAAATAAGTATTAAGTAAGGAAGTCTAGAACCAAACGGTTTTGTGGGGGTTTGGTAGTGTGTTTAAAATGTAAAAACGAAATATTAAAAGATAATACGGGAATTAAATGACGTAATAACTAAACTTAACGAAAATGACTAAAAATGTAAAAAACGGATATCTAATTGCTTAAATGAAAATGAACTAAAAAGAAAAGACAATATTGAACTAAAGCTTGAAATAAAATCGGTGTAAATCAATGAGAAAGAAGGCGTTGGGGTTCAGGGAAGTTTTCTCAGGGGTACGAACGATTCAAAACATTGCTAGAGAGTAAAATTGATAAGATCTTAGCTTAAACTTTTCGAACTGGAGTCACGGACGTATGAATACGCCACTGTCGTGATCATAGACAACTATCTCTCTCAACCCTGACCAGTAGGTTTCCACTCTGGCCCTGGAAGAGAAGAGATGCATTATGTTTATCGTCCTAATTCACAAATCGCCCATAGGTAGGACACCAGATGAACACTTTCGTGTCACCAAGCATCTGGATCAGATTGTAGTTCATGACGCTACTCTCATGCAGTAAAAACGAATTCAGAAGAAAAAGTTCTAAGATTCGGCTCAAAAGCTCATGGAATCCTCATCGAACATATAAATCCCCATCAAAAATCCCTTAATCCCAACAATAAAACTACTCAGACATAATGAACGAAATCAAAAACATAGTATTAATAAGTAGAATAGAAATCGAAATTGATAAAGAAAGAACAAGGGTTCAAGAGAACAAATCTCTCTCTCCCTAAAACCTAAAGCAAAAACAATAAAAATATGAAGTAATGATGGATGATATTCGGTTACATGATATTTAGGGTTCCTAAGACATGTATTTATAGTGCTCAAGACCTCTTTGGACGTCACTTAGGGTTTCTCCAAATATGGGCTTCAGAAATGGGCTTTTTGGGCTCGGAGGTTGATGGCCGCGGTCGGGACAAGTGTGACCGCGGGGAACAAGTGTTTGGCCGCGGTCGGGATGCTCCTGACCATGGGGAATGAGTGTTTGGCCGCGGGTGGAAGTGCTTGCCGGCTGGTTTACGGGACATCTTGCTCTTCGCGTATCTTTTGATTGAACCGTTGGATTCCCAAGCTGTAAAGTGCACTAAAAAGCTGATACTTCCATCTTTAAGGTCTCCAAATTTGAGCTGGATCAGACGGTGAGAAGGCCTTCAATCAGGGGTGAACTTCTGACGGTTTGACTTTGAGCTGAAATCTGGTTTTCTATCCATTTTGTTAAGCTTTTCCCTAAGTTACCTGAAAAGAGTCTTGGAACTACGAATACTAGAAAAACGTAGTAAAATTACTTAAACGCAATTAAAAACATAGAAAAAGTATTTCAAAACGATCCATAAAAATGGTCAAAATACGGTGTTATCAGAGGCTCGGCTCCGTCAGCACCAAAAGTGATCCCAAAGATGGCTAAGAAACAGGCGGATTTTCGGCCTCCGCCTCCTCTTCTTCCTTAAAGATACTGGCCTCGAACAGTCAAGGGTTGGAGAATCCCGGGACAGTTCACAGACTTCAGGACCTCCACCACCGTATGGATCCTGATATTATATTTCTATCTGATACAAAAAAACCCCATTGACTTCGTGATGAAGAAAGTTGAATCATTCGCTTATGATCATCATCTACTTGTAACCCCCCATGGTCATGGGGGAGGAGGTCTGCTGCTGCTGTGGAAAAAGGAAATTCAATTAGAAATCATGGAGTCATGCCATAACTACATCGATACCCTAGTGATCTACGAGACTAAAAAGTTATACTCTACCTTTGTCTATGGTAATCCGGTTAAAGCTGATTGTAAAAAATTCTGGAATCATTTGATAGCCCTGGCATAAATTAGGGATTCCCCATGGTTCTTATCTGGAGATTTTAATGACATATTAGACAATAGTGAAAAGGAAGGAGGCAATACCAGATCTGAAGGTTCCTTTAATGACTTCAAAAGCTTCTTTGCGGAATAAGATCTATTTGATTTAAACCATTCTGGATGTCCTTTATCTTGGAGAGGAGTTAAGAATGAATGTAATGTCCAATGTCGCCTGGATCGAGCAGTCTCCAATAGTGCCTGTGCAGACTTATTTCCCTCAGGTCGATGTAAGCATCTAAAATACAAAGCTTCTAATCACCAGCCGATTGTAAACGGGTTTGACCCTCAAAGAAAACGAAGGAAAGGATTATTCTGATATGACAGATGGTTAAAGGAAAATGAAGAAATCAAAAAGCTTGTGGCAGACACTTGGAAGGAAAATAAGCATCTCCTCATGAAAGGAAAATTTGATAAATGCAGATTTGCTATTGTTCAATAGAATAAAATGCAGCAAATGAACAGCAGAGCTCGATTCGAATAATATCAAGAGGAACTGGAAGTTATAATGGCAAACACGGCTAGTGCTACGGAGGAAATTTAGTTTAAAAAAAACAACTTACCAGTGCATACAAAGATGAAGAGGCCTTCTGGAAGCAGCGTAGCAGACAGTTGTGGCTCAAATTGGGGGACAGAAATATAGACTTCTTTCATGCCTCTGCAACAAAACGGTTTGCTATCAACAAATTCCCTGTGATAGAGTCGGAGGACGGATCCCCAGTTTTTGAAAAAAATCAAATTGTTAAGATTATCTCTTCCTACTTTAAGAAGCTGTTCACCTCTCAAGAGACTAACATGCATAAAACTGAAGAGATAATCGCTAATGCACTCGTACTGGTCATTTCTGAGGAAGATAACCTCCTCCTCAGCCAAGAACCTTCTGATGCTAAGATTAAGGATGCCCTCTTCTCCATCCATCCAGATAAAGCCCCTGGCCCCAATGGTTTTTCAACGTGTTTTTTTCATTCCAACTGGGAGGTCATTGGCACAGATTTGGTGGGAGAGTTAAAAGCTTTCTTCAAATCTGGAATCATGCCAAAAACGATAAATGAGACTCACATCAGACTCATCCCGAAAGTAAATGAACCTACAAAAGTTGCTGACTACACACCTATTGCCCTTTGTAATGTCTATTACAAGGTAATATTCAAACTCTTATGTAGAAGACTCCAACCATTGATGAACAAGATTATTTCTGAGAATCAATATGCCTTTGTCCCTAAGCGTGCAATATCAGATGTCTTGATCACACATGAAGTTCTACATTTCCTAAAAATCTCTCAAGCTTCGAAACATTTTTCTATGGCAATCAAAACAGACATGAGTAAGGCTTACAATAGACTTGAGTGGAGTTTCATCCAAAGAGTTCTACTAAGAATGAGATTTCACAGGAAATGGGTGCAATGGATAATGTAGTGTGTTTCTACAGACTCCCTTTCTATGCTAATCAACGGTTCAGCAAAAGGGTCTCTCATACCTTCTAGAGGGATCCGAAAGGGTGATCCCCTGTCTCTTTACCTGTTCATACTGTGTGGAGAAGGGCTCTCGGGACTTTGTAATCAGGCCCAGAAGAGGAAAAAATTCAAAGGTGTTAAAGTAGCTCGGGGATGTCCCTGCATTAACCATCTGCTCTTTGCAGATGATACGATTTTCTTCTTTAGAGCTGACACAAATTCCTGCAACGAGTTAATGAGAATCTTATCAGATTATGGCGCAGCATCAGGGCAACTTATAAACTCTCAATCATCATCAGTAACCTTCTCTCGGAAGGCTCCTCAATCAGTTAAGGAATCAATAATGAACATTCTTAAAATCCAAAATGAGGGAGGAGTTGGCAAGTACCTTTGACTCCCAGAACATTTTGGAAGGAAATAAAAAAACTTATTCACCTCGATAGTGGATAAGATCAAGCATCGAGCTGCAAACTGATCGTCAAAGCTTCTCTCGGGTGCAGGGAAGCTAATCATGTTGTGGAGTGTACTTGCTACTATGCCATCATATGCTATGATCTGTTTCAAGCTTCTCCAGCCACTTTGTAAACATATTCAATCATCGTTGACACGATTTTGGTGGTACTCCTCCCCTGATCACCATAAAACTAGTTGGATCTCTTGGGACAGAATGGCAAAGCTGAAAAGCAAGGAGTATTAGGATTCAAAGATATAAACCTGTTCAACGATGCACTCCTTGCAAAGCTGAGCTGGAGACTGATTCGATTCCCAAACTGCCTTCTTTGCATGATTCTCAAAGGCAAATACTTCATGGACTATTCTATCCTGAGGACTTAAGCCCCTTCCATGGCTTCACATGGTTGGGATAAGCATCTTACAGGGAGAGATCTGCTTGCCTCACAATTAGGATGGGCATTGGGTAACGGTGCATCTATCAGCTTTTGGGTTCGTCAGAAAGTGCTCCGTCCAATAGGTCCACCCCCTCAATCTGCAAAAATCTGCTGGTTAGTGATCTCATAAATCACGAATCAGGCGAATGGAATACCACCTTGATTGATCAGATCCTCCCTTGTCATTATTTGGTGCTGAGGATAAGTTGATATGGTTTAAAAACTTGGATGATGAATATTCACTAAATCTGGTTACCTCTCTGCTGCTTTCTCCAAATATGAAGCTCTCCTTCCAGGTGTGGAAACTGAGTGGAATAAGCTGGTTTAGAATGTTAAAGCTGCACCTAAGGTGAAACTCTTCCTTTGGAAAGCCCTCCAAGGAGCGCTTCCTGTCGGGAAAAATTTGAGAGTGAGGAACATCGTACCTTCGGCTAAATGTATTAGGTGTGAAGAGAATGAATCTACTCACCATCTCTTGTTTGGCCGCGCCTTTGCTCAAGAGGTCTGGAGATCTGCTCCATTCGCAGCTGAATTCGACTCATCACAGATAACTGATGTGAGGAATGGGATAGCTAACTCATGCAATTTTCTCACCCTCCTACCTACGAGAGTCAAAGCAGGCCGCCTCTTCTCCTGGATATGTTGGGCTCTTTGGATTTTCAGGAATCAAAGAACCTTCAATAACCGAAACCTCTCCACTTTGGAAACTGTCCTAAGAGCTCTCTAGGATGCTCTGGAATGGAATACAGCCAACGAAATCGACGCAACCCTTCAAGTCAAAGCTCCGATAATCCAGCAACAGCTTTCTTTCAGAGGTGATGTCTCCCTGATCTGCTCAACTGACGCGGCGTGGCGTGTGGACTCACAGATGGCAGGTTTGGGATGGGTCTTTGATCGATCTTCAACTATCATTTCCAAGCATGCAAGATCGGCTTCAGATGTTGGGTCAGTTCTTGTGGCAGAAGCTCTGGATCTCTATGCAGCGATCGTCCATGCAGCTGCTCTTCAAATTGATGCAGTTATCTTCCGATCGGACTCGCAAACCTTGATCGCTGCTATCTCTTCGGGGATATCGCCGATTTCAATTCACGGCATTATTGCTGACATTAATATATGTTCTACTATGTTTAAGAGTATTAAGTTTAAATTTATCCCGAGGAAGGATAATGTTATTGCTGACTTTCTAGCCAAACAAACTCTTAGTGGCTTTGGTTTGTATCCTGAATCCGATTAGGAGTTCTTTAATTAATGAAGATTTGATCACAAAAATTAAAAAAAAAAAACAAATGCGAAGAAAATGGTTCAACAGAGGAAAAAGAGCAAAAATATCCAAATAACCATAAATCATTTGCTCTGTCTTATAAGACTAATGATTCTTTTAAACATAAGAAATTCGTCACTCTACTAAAGATTAGTAAAAGATTAATTTAAAAGGAATCAACAACGAAAAATAGCAAAGGACTCCGATTGAATGAAAACAAAATCTGAGAAACTTGGAATTTATTATCCATTAAAACGAAAAAAGAAACCCAATCTAAGTCGGAACACATCCAATATGAATCGAAATATTTACAACAAAACTGAAAAAAACCCTATCTCTCAGAGATAAAAATGAGAGAAGAACGAGAGTTTTTTATAAGCCCTGATTTATTACGACAATAAACTTGACTGTGTTATAAATAATTAATATTTTATATCTTCAATTCTACTATTTTTTATCTTTTGGAATATTACAAATTTGAAGCATCTATTTGGATGATATTATAGCATATAACTTTAATTTTACCTGCTTACAATGATCCACGATGTTTTGTCTGCACCATGTCATGATAGACTAAGTTTGCATAGAAAATATGACACAGTAAAAGAAAAACTGCTCACATGTAAATTTTGTTTTATTTTGTGTTATATATAATTAATTATGTAATACCTTCAATTCTACTATTTTTTATCATCTAATACTATTTTATTACAAATTATGAAAAAAATATTGGAACAATTTTTATAGCAGACAATTCTATCTACTTACAAAAAAAACCATAATGTTCTGTCTGCACCATATTCATAATAGAACCCTAACTTTTGCCATAGACCACGACGAATAACTCTTATTACACTGTGCTAGAAACCTCCTAAACTTGAATTCTTTAATTTGACATTCTCCAATAATCAAATTTCATATCTCATGGTATAGAAGTATTAATGAATTATTAGTCGACCACTATACCGATGAGACTTTCACCTTCAAGTCTATTATCAATGATTAATCTCTTGTGTTTTATGAATTTTTTTTATAAACTAAATAATATCTTTTATCCTATTAATTCTTGAATTTTTTTCATCCTAATTCTAATAATTAATGATTTTAAATTTCCAAATTTTCCATTTTGTAGTGTTTATATTTACGTATCTATCATTTACTCCAATCCCCTTTTTACCTTTCAAAATTTTATATCTTTATTTGTTTCCGTAATGTTTCTATGTTTTTTATCATTATTTCATTATTTTGATAATTTGTTATCTCTCCAATTATTTATCTAATTTTCTTTTTTTATTGTTTTAGTTCTTATTTTTCTTTTTCAGTTGTTTGATTTTTTTTAATATGTTATTTTCAATTTTGTTTACATAATTTTTTTTTCATCGTTTTCATTAATATTAAATTATATTAGTTTCAAAATAACAATTAAACCACATCGAAAAATGAGAAAAACACTTATGAATTATTTGATATTATACGTTTATAGTCTTTTTATATTAAATTCAAATTAAATAATTTTATATTCAAGAATAGTTATACATATTAAAGAAAAAATAAACATTTCCCTAATAGTACATATGTCAAGTTTTAATAGGTTAATGATGATGTATCAAGCATAAGAATTTTCTTCATCTTTTATATATTACTAAGTGAATACATGTACATAACGTACGGGTTTTTTCTTTTCAACTATTTTAAATTAGTATATTTGTAAAAGTAAATATAATCATCATTTGTTAGTATGTTTTTATAAACAATCTTAAAAATCAATTTAAAATACCTATTAAATATTATTAAGTAATTTAGAGTTATATACAAATAAAATAAATATCCATTTTAATATTTTTAATTAATTATAACATAAATTCTTGTTTAGAATTTACATAAATATTATTTAAGAGTCAATTAATAATAAAAGTTTTTTTTGAATGGTTTGAAACTTAATGTTAAAATTTTATATATAAATGGATAGGTATCACTCTCTCTACTGTTGACATATCAAAAAGCTGGAGAGAGTTAATCTCTTTTTATGTATAAAATTATTTAAAGCGTCATCTGTGCTTTGCGTAGACTTAGTAAAATATATTATGAACTATTTTATCGTTTAATGCTGTTTTATTTTTCTGAGTTTCATAGTTAGTCGAATTGTTTATATCAGCTTAAAGTATGTATATTTTGTTTTTTTTTTGTTCTTTTTAAAATTTTTAAATTTATAATCATCTATATGTTTGTTTAGTAGATGGTACACATTTTTACATTTTTTGTTGGGTAAATATTGTGGAGTATGTTTTTTAAAAGGGGAAATTAGATCCACTTAAAAAAAAGCTCTAAAAAGTGGTAGATTTTTTTAATTTTATTAAAAAAGAGTGTAAACTACATTAGATTCATCTTTTTTTATTCATTACTGGCCATGTAAATCCATAACTACATACACAAATAATCTCTTTTGCTTTCCTAATTCAGATATATAACTCTTTTTTTTTTCTTTTATTCATTACCTTGCATCTAGATACATGTTTAAAAATATTCCAAATTTAAAATGGGGCTAGGTGATCAAGTGGACTCAAACCCAGAAATCTCCCACTTGAAAGTTACCATTGGGCTAAGAGGAACTTGGTTAGATATGTAACTCTTCATTCTTAAATAACCTAAAGCTTTTGCAAAATCTTAGTCATCTGATAAATAAAATGAACATATTTACAACGGTTTTTTACATTCCACTTTAACTAGATTCTAACCCCGTGCATCCGCACGGGAATATTTTTTATTGTTTAACGAATTTTGTAATATAATTTGTGTTTTTGAGTTTAGATATAATTATTTTTATAAATATCTTTTTTAATACGTAAAAATATTGATTTTGTGTTTAGATATATTTTTATATTATTAAAATTAATTATGATTATAAAAATATAATTTTAACCTGTCCGCTAATATTAATTCAAAATGAAATATTATAAAAACATAATTCTAACTTTTCCGTACCGTATAATATAAATATTTGTTAAAAGATTGAGATGTATTAACAGTATTATTTAGCATTATAGTTTTCTAAAATTTAATCAACGAAGGGAGTGTACAACTGGTTTTTCAAACCACATTATAGTGTATGCAATAATTTTTAATTTTTTATGTTTTTATTTTGTATGAAAAATATATTTTTGATATATATGTATAATTCAAAATTGGTGATTTTAGTTACCAAAATATTTTTAACCCGGTTTTTATATATATTTTTAGTTCTATGAATTTTAAAAAATATATTTTTAATATTTAAATTATACATTTAAATTTTACCTATA